CTCTCTCTCTCTGCACCTCTCTCTGTGCGTCTCTCTCTCTTCTCTATATTTGCTGAACTTGCCCAGTGTTCTCTTTTCAGTAGAATGCCAGAACTGAGGTTGAACAGTATGACAATATTTATTGTTATTGTAATAAATAACACCAAAATATGTGACACTGTTCTTTTCTGAGTGTATCATGGATGTGATGTAGTAACATATCATGTATCGTGAAAAGTTCTTAAAGTATCGTTGTGATGATCATCGTGACATTTTTTTCCATATCGCCCTGTCAGCTCTCACCAGAACGCAGAGCTGCTCGAACACTCTGCATCATTACATATCTGGACAGAATAATTTCTGACAAAACCTCAGTCTGACTAGCAGCTTACCAGATCAGAGTTTAATGACGCATAGTGGAAGCTGTCGTTAAACAATTTTTCTGATCATGTTAATGAATCAGACTCACATGCTGGGCATAATTTTTTTTTTTAATCATCACTGTAACTTTTTCTGTTTCTATATTTAAAAGGTTGCCTGTTACATGAAAAAACCTGTGTAAACACTTAATGATCAAAGGAACAGTAGAAATTGTCCAGAATTACTTTTTAGAATCACATCATATAATAGAGTATATTTATGTACGCGCCAGTCCCACTGAGGCTGATTCCTCAAACATCTAAGTGTTCTTAATCAGTAAAGTGATTCTGATCCATAATCATTTTCATGGAAACTAATAGTAAATCTACTCGAGCTCTGCGAGGCCTTTGTTCTCTCTGATGGATGTTCCTCCTAAAGAATGCATTACAGAGTGTCTTAGTGTACAGTAACAGTGTAAAGTGTTAGTGCAGTTTAATCAGGCCTGAATCCGTCTCTCTTAACGGTTCAGAGTAATTAGATTCATTAGTGCCGGTGAGACGCAGCGTTTGCTGAGAGACTGAGACTCTGAGAGACAGTTTAGTGGATTATCGGCTGATTTTGTGCTGCAGTATGGATCTGTGAATGTGATTGGAGTTTCAGTCAAGTGCAGATGAGAGAGAGACAAACCGAATGAGATCTTCTAAGTACTCTCTCTTTCTTGCTTCTCTTTCTCTCTGTTTCAGTGTCTCTCCCTTTCTGTCTGTCTCTCTCTCTCTCTCTCTGGCTATATTAGCATGACTGAGTGAACCACAGTATTGCCAGAGCATTACAGCAGAAGTAATGAATAATAAAAAAGTGCAAGAACTAAAACAAATAACCATATTTATTACTATGATTACAAAAATTACTATTGTTATTATTATTATTATTATTATTATTATAACAATTCTAATTACCAAACAAATTATGTTTTCTGTCACTTTTAACAAATATGCTGTGTAGTTGTTGGTGGTCAGACGGGTGTCTCGCTGTCTCTCTTTATCTCTTTCTTTCTGTCTCCCTCTTTCTCTCTCTCACACCATCTCTTCTTTCCCTCCTTCTCTCTCTCTCTCTCCCTCTCTGTCTTTCTCTCCTCTCTCTCTATCTTTCTCTCTCTTTTCTCTCTCACTTTCCCCCCTCTATGTCTTTCTCAGTCTTTCTCTGTCCTTCTCACTCTTCTCTATCTGTGTCTCTCTCTTTCTATCCTCTTGCTCTCTCTCTCTTACTTCATCCCTCTCTGTATCTTTCTCAGTCTTTCTCTGTCCTTCTCTCTCTCTCTCTCTCTCGCTTTCTGCACTATAAACAGTCAGATTTATGTTGGACGTTGACTCTTCTCTTTCATGAGGATGCTAAAAAAGGCGAAGGCTTCTCTCCACCCCCGAGATCACATGACTCTCCTGTGAAAGTGACTGTAAACTCAAGCTGTAAAGCGTGCACGCTGAACAGAGGGGTGTTTGTTTTCTTTCTCAGCGTGGGAAGAGAGGGAGAGACTGTACAGTGCTGGGACTGAGAGGTTTAGGAGTGAATTGGCACTGTGTGGATGTTATATATGGCCTCCTTTTACAGAAATGATTATCAATAATCACCATCACTGCTCTGCTGACTTCCTTATTAGAGCAAAGAGTTTTAAGACATCAGTCACTGTTTTAGGGAAAAAGTCTCATTTGTGTGAAATGTCTGAGTTTATTTAGTGGGGAACCTTTAGAGCCCTCCAATGGAATTTCCCTCTGTGGTATCTGGGTAGATACAGCTAAGCGAGGCCTCCCATTGTTTAGGACTTCAGGAGCTGGACTGAAGACCTTACATGTTAGATTAACAACAAACATAATTAAGACGTTTTTGCTTTTATCATTGTTATTGTTGGTATTGTGTTTAAGGTTGTGTTTAAGATGTTTAATCTTCCAATCACTAAGCATGTCTGTAAGGGAGGCTGTAACTGAACTACTGGTGTTTGACCCCCTGCACTTTTTTAACCTGATGCACCGCCCTCTGTAATGCATATGTTTCCGAGTTCACCCAGTGTGCAGTGAGGCTTATGAGAGACACTGGGCTCACATCTGAGGGCCAAATATCAGCTGTGAAGCTCACTGCTTTGTCTTCTAACTGCACTCCTAACTGTGAAGACACTCAGGTGTACAGTTTGTGAATAGCAGTGTCTGAAATGTATTTTAAGATTACAGATTCTGCCTGGTCTCTAAATTCTCGCATTATCCTGTATGCTAGCTAGCATGAACTCCTGGTACTCTTTCTCGTGGAACCTCTGCTGGTGCTTGATTGAATTGGTTGTATTGTAAGACGCAGCCGTCCTCCCACCCCATTGGCATGCTGGACTTACACACATTACAAGTTGCTGTCTTGCCTTTCGGCATTTCCACACTAAAATATCTCCAAACAAACGACATTTCAGTCAAACCAACAGCTAAATTAGGCATTTCAGACCAAATGCATGTTAATGGAAGTTTCAGGATGAAGAGATGAGTGAATTTCAGGATGAGTGGTGAGGCTGCTACCTTTGAGAGTGCAGGTCAAATTTGTGGTCAGAATCAGTCCTGAATGCCAATTGAGCAAGATTTTAACCTCGGTTTTAAGAATGTTTATGCTGGAATGTCCAATATATACTCAAATGTTACAAAGAGCCATTTTGTCCTTTCAACAAAAATCAAACCACCTTGGGAGCCACAACATATTATGTCCATTTTACCATCTTGGCTGTAAATATGTCTCAGTATGTGCTTAAAATATAATATCAATGAAAACGCAGACTTACTTTGTTCTGCTATAAGCTTAGCTCAACTATAGCTGCTTTTCTCGCATCTCTGTCAGGAAGCTTTTCTGCAAAAGCAGAACATTTTCTTGAAATCTTCTTCGTTCCATTTTTTACAAGGCTGAAGTCAGCTTCTCATTCACCAGCTTCTTGTTTGAATTTTTAGACAGAATGTAAACGCTGCTCCATTTTAGGTGGAACAGGAAAATTTGAACAAGAAATTGGTGAACGAGCAACTGACTTCAGCTTCGTGGAGCATCGTTTTTTGCTGCAGATTAAACATATTAGGAAACCAGCTGGAGTGATTATAAATGCAAATAAGTCCATTCGTCTCTAAATTATTGATGTTTATCTTAAATCTTTCTCTGCCTTTTATTAGCTACTAGCTAGGTGAGACCGTTGTCTGCATTGCTATGGTGTCAGTAGTCTGTGCGCCAACCTTCAGGGTTAAAGGGTAGAATTAACAGTTCTACATTAATTCCAGTGTTTAAGACCATTTGTTGTGTTAGAATGATCAGCAGAGCTTTATTTTACTGTAAAAGGAGGATTATTTTATTTTTACCTACAAATCTAATTCTGCTGTGGAGCCACAACAGGGCAGTAAAAGAGGATCTGCATTTCGCCGACCCCCATCCTAAATAAAATATAAATAATAAAACAGTATCTTCACAGAAGTGTCTGACTTCTCAGATCTCAGGCATCTGCAATCAAATGGGTTTAATTCAGAAATTTTCTTTAATTGTGTTTTTGTTTTTTATTATATACTATTACTATTTCTTTTACTATACTATTTATTTTTGCCCTCTCCTGTAAAGTTTCTATTTTGGAGGTATCTGATATTTTAGCTGTCAGTTTGTCAAATGGGACCAACAGATACATTCCAAAATAACATGGAATAAAATCTTGTTATATCAACATCAATGGGAATTTTTAATGATTTCACTTCTCCTATAAAGTTGCCATTCCAAGTCCATTATTTTCCAAGTCCGATTTAATAAGCATATCATATATTACCTTATTCTACAATATCTCCTACGTATATATATTTCCAAAGTCTAATAATGTCAGGTTGTGTAACCATCCATCCACATTTGCAAAAAAAATAAACTGTTAAAAAGAGTAGTTTCGTAATATAAAATTCTAAATAAAATATTTGTCATGTTTTGACGTTTGAAAGTTTTGGAAAATTACAGACTGATGCACAGTTTGTGTTAGCCATCCTCTAGCCCTTTATCAGTGGTCAGTTTCTGACCCCAGAGTCGCTATTGGATTTTTGTTTGGTGGTCCACTCTCAATCTAGCAAATAAAATCTGGACCACAGCAGTCCTGAAGTCATATATTGATCACTGATTAACCACCTCCTTGTTTCTACGCTCATTGTCCATTTTATCAGCTCCACTTACTATATAGGTGCACTTTGTAGTTCTACAGTTACAGACTGTAGTCCATCTGTTTCTCTGATACTTTGTTAGCCCCCTTTTACCCTGTGGTGTTTAAAAACTCCAGCAGCACTGCTGTGTCTGATCCACTCAGACCAGCACAACACACACTAACACACCACCACCACGTCAGTGTTACTGCAGTGCTGAGAATGATCCACCACCCAAACAGTACCTGCTCTGTGAGGGTCCATGGGGGTCCTGACCACTGAAGAACAGGGTAAAAGGGGGCTAACAAAGTATCAGAGAAACAGATGTTATGCCTGATTGGTGTATTTGCACATACATCAGTTCCTCACTATGTAAATACATATTTTATATGACAAATTGTATGAATTATTAAACTATTTGTCAGTAAGGTGTTTAGCCATCTTCCCTGTCCCTCACTTTTTCTTCCTCTTTCCTTCTGTCCGCTGTAGAAACTGCAGGTCTTAAGGAAGACACTACAGGCTTTGATCTATCCCATCTCTTCCACTACACCCCATAATTTTGAAGTCTGGACGGCGACGGCCCCAACATACTGCCACGAGTGTGAGGGGCTGCTGTGGGGCATCGCACGGCAGGGAATGCGCTGCACAGAGTGTGGGGTCAAATGTCACGAGAAGTGCCAGGACCTGCTGAACGCAGACTGCCTCCAGCGTAAGTTTGGTTATTTCACATTCAGCTGGCATTTAGGTCCAAAGTGTCGTACAGTAGAATACAGGGGCCGTACATTTTGTACATTTAATTACAAACGCCTCTCCTGTAGCTCCATCTCACTGGTGTGCAGTTACAGCCTGTAGTTCATCTGTTGATGCACAGTTTGTTTTAATCATCTTCCAGTCCTTTATCAGTGGTGCTTTTCTGACCACAATGCTGCTCTTGGCTGGATATTTTTGGGTAGTGGTCCACTGTCAGCCTAGTAAATTATATCTGGACAACAGAATTTCTGTGGTCAGAAACTAACCAATGAGGAATAAAAACAAGGGTGAACTAGAGTTACAGTCTGTAACAGTAAGATAGTTAGCTTACAAAGTCATCAATGAAAGTGGAAATAATCAAAGTTGCCAGTGAGTGGAAGTAGAGGGTAGGTGTTTCTAATAAAGTGGCCAACGATTGGAAGTAGAAGGTAGGTGTTTCTCATAAAGTGGCCAGTGAGTGAAAGTATGAGGTTGGTGTTTCTGATAAAGTGACCAGCGTGTGGAAGTAGAAGGTAGATGTTTCTGATAAAGTGCCCAGTTAGTGGAGGCACAAGGAAGGTGTTTCCAATGAAGTGGCCAGGTAAGTGGAAGTACAAGGTAGGTGTTTCCAATAAAGTAGACGCTGAAGGGAAGTACAAGGTAGGTGTTTCCAATAAAGAGGCTATATTATGGTTTGCTGTCCTCACCTTCTGCTGTAGTGATAACTTGACACTAGAAACAGCATGTCTAATGCGCTTCACTTTCCTGTGCCAAGGAAATGAGTGCTGTCAGAAGCCATTAACATCCATCCTTGTCACAATTCTAACTGCACATGGCGTAAACCTTTAAAAAAATGCCCCTCCTCTCTCATCTCAAAACAAAAAGATGCACAAATCAGCAGGACTTTCTGCCGTTAGATCTGAACTGATGATGGAGGAGTTGGTTTAGTCATCACTGCTTGTCAGAAAGGAAACATCAAAAAAAATTAATCTTGTTTACTCTTCTAGATTTTCTCTGGGCCACAAGTCCAAGAGCACAAATGTGTCGTTCTCGATCAGTCAGGATAAGTGGCAGGTCGTGGAGAAGCAGTTTGTTACTCCAGTCCGTGTGCTGAGTGGCCGTGTGTTGGCATGGTTTGACCATTAAAGTGAAAGTGTTGATCTGGGGCCAGGCCCTCCCCCACAGATCAAAAACCCTCGCAGAGGGCTTTTATGAAAAGAGCTGCAGGTTTAAAAGCTTGACATATGCAGCAGAATTTACCAGGGCACATATCTCTTCACATTACTTACCAGGAGTGTAAATGTCTGCTAGAAACTTTTGGTATTAACTATTAACCTTTAGAGATTTATGAGTTTTGTAGTTTTGCTATACTATTTAATTTTAAACATAATTACATTATTAATTTCATAGTTGATTACATAACAAATTGAATTTTACATTCAATTCCCATTCTGTATTGACTCATTCAAGTCTGCTTAGTTGTTGTTGTTTCTTTTCCATTTGTGTCACTATCAAAAACTGTGGCAAAATGTGAACGGAAATGTATATAAACTTTGTAAACGGAAATGTATACACTTTGTACTATGTACTTTTAAACCCATATAAACCTTCTTTATGATGCGATACACTGCCCGCTCTTTCTGAAAACATGTCAGGATAAAAGCCTTTTGTTGTCGTGACATTTGAAGAAATCACTTACGAAAGTTTGACGTAAGTTTTGCAGTTCATTGAACGTCTTACAATTGTAAAGCTTTTACACATCAAAATATGCCAAACTAATTTACTTAGAATATCGTATTACTAATTACTTTTTTTGATAGTTTATTTAATTTGCAGATGTGGATGGATGGTTGCACAACCTGACATGATTAGACTTTGGGAGACATTGTGCTTCTTAAATTGTTTAATAGGAAAATATGCACAAAAATACATGTATGCCTGAATTGACAACTTCTTAGAAGTGGAAACATTTTCTATTTTTAATGGGAAACAAAAAGAGCAAAAAAGTTCTTTGCTTCCATTGTAAGTTCATATAAACAGTTATTATTCAAAGTAATTTTGGAGCAGTTCTGTTGGTGCAATCATCATGAAATTTCCATGCAGTGTCATCTACATCTACATCTGCAGAGCTCAAATTATGCAGAAAACTAAAAATTCCAAAAAAAAAAAAAATAAGCGACGATATTTGAATGAAGTACACTGTAAAAAAGATTCAGTGTTTTAACTTAAAAATGAACCTGGTTGCCTTAATATTTTGAATTCATTTAATTTCTAATAGTAAGTTAACAGAACAGTAATCTGTGTTTTACATTCCATGAACTAATTATTTGCAGCTCAGTGAACTCAAAATTTTAAGGCTTCCAAGTTTAAACACTGAATCATTTTTTACAGTGTAAATTCTAAATTTCTATTTTCGTTCCAGTGTAATTCCAGCTACTAACATTCAAGGTTTGTATTTCCTGGGTGAACGTGTTTCTGGTTAAAGCTGTGTAGTACTAGTAGTGCTGTGAGAGTTATGTGTTATGGTCTGTAATCACGCTGTTGTGAGTGTGACATGTATTATTGCCTATTGTGAAGCTCCCTTTTGAAGTGACCCTCACAAATATGGCCGCCTGCCAGTGCAGCAAATGGGTCTTTATTCAGCGAGATTTATAGAATGAGCCATCAAAATAAATCATCATAGCCAAAGAGAGAGTGTGTGTGTGTGTGTGTGTGTGTATATGTGTGTGATTGAGCGAGCGAGAGAGACTGTACTCATGTGTGAGAGTGAGAATGTGTGTGTGTGTGTGTGAGTCAGAGTGCAAGATAAACTGTCTATGGATGTGTGTGTAAGTGTTTGTATGACTCAGAGGAAAACTGTATAGAAGCGTAAGTGTGTGTGTGTCTCAGTGCGTCAGGTGGATCAGCAAAAAGAGCTTAATATGTAACACACATCACGTTCAGGTTGCAAAACAGTAATATGAGTGAAATTCCTAATAGCAAGATGCTTAGACTGTACATAATGAGATACACTGTCAGAAAAACGGTCCTCCAACGTCCACCAACGTAACATTACTGTAAATTACTGACTGCTAGTTTAATAATTACTTACCAGTATTACTTTCAATTACATTCACAGTAAAATATCAACTGTATCACTGGACCACAGTAATGAGCTGTATTAAAATACAGTAATATCCTGTATTTTTACGTAACAACTGTAAAATTAATGCAATTTACTGTAACATAAGGAAAAAACTATTTTTAATTTTAGGCCTGGCCTGGTAAAATGAAAAGGGCTGGTAAAATTTAAAGTATTTATTTTTTATTTTTTAACCAGGCCTTTAATTGTTTTTTTTTTTGGAAATTAATACAATGTAAAAGATAAATCAAATCAAAACCAGTATAAATTAGCATATTTTTTCACCACATTCACTTTGCATAAAACAGTGGTCTCCAGCCCTCCTTCCTCCTGGAGCTCTACTTTCCTGTAGAGTTTGGTTCCAACCTGCATCTGACATACTCACCTAGCACTGGTGCATCTGATCCAGCCAATCAGGGCCTCTGAAGAAGTTAATTAGCTGGAGCAGATGTGGCACATTGTGGTTGGAAATAGACTCTGCGGGAAAGTAGATCTCACATTTTCACATACATGACAAAAAAACTAACATCTGGCATCAGTGTTCCAGCATTAACAGTAAAAAAAAATCATCGTAAAAGTTTAAAAGTCTTTAAAAGACCAAAACCTAAATTAAAATGGTTAAATTATTAATACTGTTTTAGCTCTCTGTTGCTGTCATATAATTGCTTGGAGTTAGAAGATGGCGAGTGCAGACGTCCACTAAATATCACTGTAACGTCTTGTGTTTAGCCCCTTATATGACCAGGGGCTACCGGCGGGCCCAAAGTTTTATTACACACTTCTATAACCTTAGAACAGCTCAGTGAGTTTGCAATAAAGTACCTGTCGTTACTGAATAAAAAAAAAGCCTTAGTGTGTAACAATCCTGGGATTTTTAGGGGCTGATCAGGAGAGTAAACTGGAATATTCTCTAGGTGAATGGGTATTTCTAAATGGTTATTTCTGTGTAATAAACAGATGCAGAATTAATAAGACTCTTATGTCTTCAGGTGTCTTAGTACCACGTTTTTACCCCATATAACTTACTAGACCACTACTTAGAAACTTTTCACGTTTAAATGAATCATTCATTTAATAAAATAATATGAAAACAGTTTCTGATGAATGCATGAGAATAGACACAAGTATTGGCATCGCTGACATTAATTTGCCTAAAAGTCACACATCTCAGGCCCTAATCTATAAATGATGAACTTCATATTTATCTGAAAAAAGCAGATCTACGCAGATCACTTTTAGGTTCGGTCGATGTAAAAGATTAACACGCCTGTTCATTTCAGTATTCAGAAAAATGCATATTCATATTTTTTGGAGTTAATCAGTTGATATAAAATCTTAAGAGGAAGGATTTATACTAGATCGCGGATTACACTCGGATCCAATTAACTGATCCAGAATTTAGATTATTTAGGATTTCATGATCTGTCTGTGTTTAATGCATACTTCGTATAAAAAAAAATCAGCAACATAATTCTTTTCTACAACCAACCAACATCTCTTTGAGACTTTTCCAGTTTACTTTCCTGCTTGACCATTACGGTGAAGTTTAGTTTGAAATTTAGTGACTTGCTGTCATTTTTGCCTTTTTACCCAGATTTACCCAGCGACTACATTCACTGTCTTGGAATGTTCTGTCATGTTACTCAAATAAATGACCTAGTACTTTGGAGTTTGTACCTCATACTTATCTGGTTAATTAGGGGCTTAAGGGACTGTAAAAGGAAATACTACCCTTTATAAAAGGTCAAACCACCTGCTATACAACATAATTAGCTGCAGATGAACTGATTGAGAAGTGATTTTCTTTATTTCACAGATTTTTGCAAAATATTTTTTTAATGCTCACGGCTTCGCTCAACATTAGAAATCTGATAATTGGCCACTTTACAAAGATACAATAGCAAAAAATGTAGAAAGAAAAAAATACAGTATAAACAGTTGTATATATACACTGCTTGTCCACCTCAGAATCCCCTCCTTTGTAGCTCCACCTTTAGCCATCCTCTAGTGCTTTATCAGTCAGTTTTTGACCACAGAGCAGCTCTTGTACACCTACAGAAGGTAGGTGGAGCTCAAAAAGTGGCCAGAGGAAGTACAAGGCACGGGTTTCTAATAAAGTGGATGGGGGGACAGAACCATTTTGTGATACAATTTCTCGCAGCCCCTTTGTTCATGCTCTCTGGTGGTCTCTCTCTCACCCCTGCAGGTGCAGTCGAGAAGAGCTCCAAGCATGGCGCAGAGGACAAGACCCAGAACATCATCATGGCCATGAAGGAGAGGATGAAGATCCGGGAAAAGAACCGTCCAGAGGTTTTCGAGGTCATCCAGGACATGTTTCAGCTCTCCAAGGAGGACTTTTCCACCCACCTGAAGAGCGCCAAGCAAGCCGTGCTGGAAGGAACGTCCAAATGGTCAGCCAAGATCGCCATCACCGGTCAGTGGCTGGGGAACCAGAGATGTTTTTTTTATTATTTTTAGCCTTTTTTTAACCTTTATTTATCCTTTATTTATCGAGAGCCAGCAGGAAGGCTGGGCCCGAGCTCCGAGCTCTCTCTCGCCCCCTCTCTCTCGCCCTTACTCTGTTCCCTCTCTGCTGTTTTGAGTACCATTGCTACGCCTCCTCATTACCGCCCTCCACTCGCAGCTCGTCCGCCCGGATCGAACGTGAGGCTATTTAACATGGCCTCACTGCAGGACCAGAGATGGCACCCAGGAGACGGGGCTCGGGACTCACACGCTGCCCCCCCCCCTCCTCACTTGCGGTGTTCCTCTCCCTGCCGTCCTCGCCAGGGTTTGTCCCCACTCGGGTGCTCAGGCCCCGCCTTCCTGCTGGCTTTTGCTGCCACCATCGGTGCCGGAGGAGGACGCGCATGCCACACTAACAAACACTAGGAGTCAGTAGTCACCAAAATAGCCAAAATCATTTTACCAAAACCTCTCTCAGCCCACTCAAACTACATCCAGGTCTTCACAAAAAACAATGGTTTATAGTTGCTCTGTTAGTCAGTTGGCTTCCTGCTGTCAAAGCAGGCGGTTTTTGGCCACATTGAGAGGCAAAACCCACCAGAATCTCTGGAGATAGTTAGAGGCCTTGGTACCACAAAGTGCCCCGCTCAATGGAAGTGGCCAGAAGTACACTTGGTCACAAGGCACTAGGTCAGCAACCTTGTTGTCTGCGTTGGAGTGGAACAGACACCCTTTTAAAAAAGTGCTACTCACTTTCTCCCACGAGAGTAACACAAGTAAACTGGGCTAAACCCCTTGTTGCAACATCCTTCAAACCACTCAATCAAACAAAAGGTTGATGAAATATAGATGTGCTTATGAGACCGTGGATGAATCTGAACCGACTTCCTGCTCCCTGTGGTAGTGCACTATATAGGGCATGAGACAATGGATTTTGGCAGAAGCAGGCCAGTAGCATTTTATTTGAAGGTCAACACTTAAAACATAATAAAAGCTATTAGAAACTCTTTCTTTACTGTAGACCAGCTGTCACTGCACAATATATCAGCCCCCTTCTGCCTTATTCATCATTGGTCAATTTCTGACCACAGGACTGCTGTTGTCCAGATTTTCTGTAGGTGGTGGTCCATTCTCAGCACAGCAGTGTCACTGACATGGTAGTGTGTGTGTTGCTGGTGTGAGTGTATCAGACACAGCGGTGTTGCTGAGATTTTTACACACAGTGTCATTGCTCTGTGTTCAGAAGCTAACAGCTGACCTCTGATGAAGGACTAGAACAGGGGTTGGCAACAAGTGGCTATGATGCCAGCTTCTCATTCAAATTTTCCCGTTCCACTTTAAATGGTGCAGCAGTTACATTCTGGCACCTCAGGGACCGTTTAAGGTGGAACGGGAAAATTCGGACAAGAAGCTGGCGAATGAGAATCTGACTTCAGCCTCGTAAAAAGGCTAACGTTAAGAGACATTTAACAAGAAACTGTTCTACGTTTGCGGAAAAGTTTCTTGCTGGAGATGCGAGAAAAGCAGCTATAGCTGAGCTAAAGCTTAAAGCAGAGCAAAGTAAGTCTTTCGTTTTTGTTTATATTATTTTTTAGCCTATAAAAGTACATTAACACATACTGAGACATATTTACAGCCAAGATGGAAAAACAGACATAAAATGTTGTGGGTCCCAAGGTGGTTTGATTTTTGTTGAAAGGACAAAATGGCTCTTTTTAACATTTGGGTAGTGACCCCTGGACTAGAGGTTGGCTAACACACACAGGGGACAGGGGAGGGGTTTCTAATAATAGGCAATTATGTGAGATTATTGATCATTTTTGGCTGACTGACAGCTCGTTCCACCAATTATTTCTGCAGTCCTAATATGAAAACCAACAGAGAGAAGTTGTCTTTGTGAGTCAGGGCAGATTCCCTCTTTGCTCTCTTTGTTTATTGCTTATTCAGTTCCAAGCAGAGCAGTTTGTTTTGCTGTTTTGTCTCATGGGGCATTGTCCAGACGCATCGGGCCGAGGCAGGACAACAATGTGTTTTCAGTGTTGAAAAGAAAGCAATTATCAGTGGACACACACACACTCTGCTGGGCAAAGCCTGTGTCACCAGCTCTGCATCAGCAACATTCTTTTCCCTTGACTTTGCTGCCCGGACGGTGGACACTGTGAATTATTGCCAAGCCTGCACTTCTGCAAAAGTGTCAATACGCAGGAGAGAAAGAAGGGGCGAGGGAGACAAAGTAGCATGCAGCTGGTTTAATTTGTCTCTCCTGCTGAATCGAATTCCCCCTCTTTTAGAATGCGTTCATGGACTCCTGATTTATTTATTATTCATTTGATAAACACCGGGGTGTATTGATCCTCTTTCACTTTGGCAACAGCACGTACTGATTTCATATTATATATGGAAGTTTTAGAGCCCAGAAACTCTGAAAGTTTTTTTTTTCCAGAAATGTCCAGAAACCACCTCAGCAACCCACCCCCGCCACTCCCCCAAACCCTTTTCTCTTCCTCTACATCTAATAGAAGCAAGCCAGTAACCGTTTAGTTAAATATCTACATCTAGAATAAATGAGTCATTAACTACATATATTATACACTCACTGCCCACTGTATGAGCTTTACTACTGTATAGGTGAACAGATACAGACTGTTGATGCAATCTAGCCCAGAGGATGACAACCCAGATGTTAAGAAGAGCCATTTTGTCCTTTCAACAAAAACCAAAACACCTTGGGAGCCACAACATTTTATGTCCATTTTACCATCTTGACTGTAAATATGTCTCAGTATGTGCTGATGTACGAGTATAGGCTAAAAATATAAACGAAAACGCAGAATTACTTTGCTCTGCTTTAAGCTTTAGCTCAGCTGTAGCCGCTTTTCTCTCATCTCCTGCAGGAAACACAGAAGTAGAACAGTTTCTTGTAAAATGTCTCTCAGTGTTCGACTTTTTACGAGGCTGAAGTCAGATTCTCGTTCACCAGCTTCTTGTACAAATTTTCACCTTAAATCGTGCCTGAGGTGCCAGAATGTAACTGCTGCACCATTTAAGGTGGAACGAGAAAATTCAAACACGAAGCTGCCTGTAATAGAAAACCAGCTGGAGTGATTATACATTCAAATAGTCTCTAAATTATCTGTGTTCTTCTTAAATCTTTCTCGTTGCCTTTTCGTTAGCTACTGTTGTCTGCGTTGCAATGGTTACCAGCAGTCTGTGCGCCAACCTTCAGGGTTAAAGGGTGAATTAGCAGTTCTACATTAACTCCAGTGTATAAGACCATTTATTGTTAAACTGTGTTGAACGATCAGCAGAGCTTTATTTTACTGCAAATGAGGATTATTTTATTTTTACCTACAAATCTAATTTTGCTATGGAGCCACAACAGGACAATAAAAGAGCCGCATGTTGCCGACCCCCGCTCTAGTGCTTCATCAGTGGTCATTTTCTGACCACAGAACTGTATACCAGCAAGAGAGTCAAGTCAAGTCAAATTTATTTGTATAGCGCTTTTTACAACTGATGTTGTCACAAAGCAGCTTCACAGAAATCCATTAAGGACATGGACATGAAATGTAAATCCTCCAGGTGAGCAAGGCAGGGGCGACAGTGGCAAGGAAAAACTCCCTCAGAGCTGAGGAAGAAACCTTGGGAGGAACCAAGGCTCACATGGGGGGACCCATCCTCCTCTGGTCAAACTACCTACAAAATTATTATACTACTAATATTAATAGTAGTAGTAGTAGTTAGGAGTCCATGAAAACTTGAGTGTTCAGAGAGGAGTTTCTAATAAAATTGACAGTGAACATGTTTAATAAGGACCAGCAGTGTGAGCTGCTTTGCTAACAACTGAAGTGTTAACTGTTGAGAAAGTTGGCAAAGACATCTTTCTCTACATGACATGCTTCACAATATATATATATATTTTTTTTGAGGTTTGATAAGTTTGAACAGACAGAGAAAAACAAACAGTGCTACAGTACATAAAAAAATACTATTAAAAACTATGAATACAGTGAAACTATGAATTTTGATTAAATGTTTCACACAATGCATTGTACTAATTCCAATCAAACAGCTCTCTTTGTAACACAATATGGAATTCAGTTTTCTTGAGCCACTGACAATATCCATTATATGCGTAGAAAAGCATATAGTAGCATAATTTATCACAATAATGAGATATATTGATATCATTATCTTGCCTACCTCTAGTTGATGATAGGAATAGTTTTTACCCAGTTTTTCACTTACCCCAGATGTAGTCAGTCAGCCAAGACATGATTGGATTCCACATTTTCATTAGTTTAGAACTGGAGCTTTGAGGCTAAAGTTGCTAACAAACACTAGAAGTCAATAGTCACCCAAATAGCTCAAATCATTTCTATAGAAGTGTGTCACCAAAACTTCACTCAAACCACTCAAACCACAGCTGGGTCTTCATTAAGGCTGTAAGTGTAACTTATGGTGAGCTATTTAAATTAGCAAAACCTCATCGCTATGAGTAGCCATTTCAGACAACACCAGGGCTGCTAATAACAGAGCAGGACTGATCTTGGATCAGATTCCTCTGTATTTAAGATGGTCATTGTTACAAATACTGATTCTAGATCATCATTTTGACTGTGGCTGTTCATTTTTATAGCTCACAGTAAGTCACACTGTGGTTTAAACCACATTGTTGGTTTCAGGCCTGGATGTGGTTTGAGCAGGTTGAAAGGCGTTTTGGTGAAGTATGTTTGCGATTTGGGCATTTTGGGCTGTTTGGATGACTATTGAGTTCTAGTGTAGTGAGGCCTTGCTGCTTCAGCTCTACTCTAAAGAGGCAAAATTTGAACTCCAAACTTGTCTCAACTACATATACACTCTCAAAAAAATGGTTTTTCAAGTGTTCCTTAGTAAAGAAAATGGCTCTACATAGAACCATAAACACTCAAAGAACCCTTTGCATGACTAAAGGGTTCATCGTGAACCATCATGAAATGGTTCTTCAGGTTGATAGAGAATGTGTTGTAGATGGTTTTGAAAAGGGTTCTATTTAGCAACCAAAATGATAGTTCTATTGTAACAATGTCAAGTTGTAACAATGGAAGAACCCATCTGGGAGCTATATAGAACACTTTTCAAAAAGATTCAGTATAGAACCATCTACAACACATTCTCCCTCAGTTTGAAGAACAATTTGATGATGCAGATAACCCTTTAATCATGCAAAGGGTTCTTTGAGTGTTTATAGTTTTAAATAGAACATTTTTTTTACTGAAGAACCCTTGAAGAACCATCTTGTGATGAATGTAGGGTCACTGTAAAGTTAAGTAAATGAAAGTTTTTGCCAAATCGCTCCATTAATTGTTGGTGATACGTTAATTGGTGTAATACACCCAGCATTATTAGTAATATGAAGCGCATTGATGCTCTATTTCTCCAAAATCAGCCTCCTCCACCCTGCCTGGTGACATTGCACCAATCTCTGTAGCTCTCCAAGCCCAAGGATATATGTACCCTGAATAATTCATCACCTCACTCATTCATTTTTAATCACCAAGTACTCTCAGTCCTTTTATGGTGCTGTGTGAAATACTACAATTGCATTGAGTGATGCTGATGAAGACTCGGCTTCTGCGCTCATCGATTGTTTCGTGTACTATTAACATACACACAGACACACACCCCCGTACTCTGAGAGCATTTTACGGCTTTTGTTTCTGATTGAAGGAGTAATGAAAGTAACCAAAAGCTGTTTGAAAGCCTGATGCCCCAGACGGAGTGGTGTGGTTTATCTTCCATTAGGTTCTGCTCCTCTAAATACACCTCCTGGGTCCCTCATGGGGTATATTCAATTCAATTTTATTTGTGCAGTGCTTCCAGATTTGCAGAAATACACATTCCAAATATACCAGAAGTGTACGCTGCATTCTTACATTGTTTATCTCATTAAACTCATTAAATGGTTTGTATGGGGGTCCGCACTTCAGTTCCCCACTCTATTAACTTCAGAACTCACACATGGTTTATAGTATATAATGAATTATTTATAGTAGTTACTGAATAATTCATAGTAGTTACTGAATAATTCATAGTATTATTATTGAATAATTTGTGATAGGTACTGAATAATTTATAGTAATTACTGCATAATTCCTAGTTGGAGGGCTTAATTATATCACTGAAACCAGCAGAGAAATTCTGTCCATAGCTCAGGTTTTAATCTATGCCACAGCACATTTTTCGTACCCAGTGAAATCCTTTTTATTTTTCCCAAATTCTGTATTTTTTCTTTTTTTGTATTTATGTATTTATTATACAAATTTCAAATGTTTTGCTTATTTCTACTCTATGAAAGTGTGTGCAAAAACTAGAACAATACAAACAATAGACAAATTTTGTGTTGAAACAACTGAAATAACATTTAGGACCAGTAAGAAATGCTATAAATGAAATGAGTGAATGCATTTATAGTTCACTGACTCACGTGTAGCAGGCTAAAGATTCTCCACAAGAGGGTGCTATTGGTTTTTGTGTGCATGAAAGACAGAAAACCAGCATGAACCCACACCAGCAGGATCTCACGAATGCACGTTTTCAGTTCGTTTCACTTTCATTTTAGGAGTATATGAAGTACAAGAATTGAAATAAGCCGTAAATAAGTGAATGCAGAGTAAATTCAGTGCTACAGCTG